GTTTTTTTCTTATAAATTCCGATAATTTCCTCACCATTATCCTTCTTTATTCATCTGCCGAGGAAGAATAGGGAGGTCAGTTAAAGTTACCTTTATGTTATTATTTTGAAATCTGGTAAACCGATCATGCTTTTATCCTTACAGGAATTTCCAGATTACCCGGAAAATAAGGCGAATAATTTACAAGTCTTCTCAGTGATGATGCGCCAGTTCTCAATGCCCGGTTACGATCGGAAATACTGTAAATACTATCATGGGAAGTTTGAATTTTTTCTATGCTGCATGTATGTCTAAAATGTCAATGACGATCCAGAAATTGTCCAAATGTAAGCTGAAATTTACAATTAATATTTGGAAAAAGACGAACTTAATTTCCGCATAGCGGTTAATTTCTGTAACAACTATTTCGGCGGGTTCTGCATCAAAAGCTTGAGCGCCCAAAGAAATGCATTTCAAGGTACTGAAGAATGTTCCAACCATCCCTCGCGCATACTTTTAAAATGTCAGAAAGCATGGAAAATGTCTACAGAGCTTTGATAGATTTCTTGCAGCCGATACCGCTTCGCTCGAGCCATTCGAAAAGTAAATCAGGCTCAAAATGTCATCAATTTTTCGAAATCACAGTTGAAATACCCCGGCACCTTAGGCTACTTCATGGAGCCAGAGCAGTTTACTGTATTTAGCTGAATTTCCCCTACGTCGAACAATTCGAAGGTCTCGCACGTTCCTTTACTTCCCGGATCCGAAAGCACGATCAACATTGAAATACGGCGCAGTAATGTCGGCCACACTGGGAAAGCGTGCGTCGCAAGAAATTTTCCCAGCACTTGTCGGGTCTCCGGCAGACGACACTGCGCTAGTCCCAGTGACAAGGAATAATTAGGAGGCGGTCGGAAGGGTCGGGCAACGTCACGTCGACGGACGGCGTTCTTTCAATTTAGCCTCACCGCGGTAACGAAACTAAACGGTCTCCAGCAGGGTTCCAAGCGACGCTTCAGAAAGTTTTCCTACAAAGTATACACTTTTCATTGACGTCAACGCTTCAATAAGCTTGGCTACTTGCATAATATACCTTAACGCACTACCATATATTTGAAAATTCAATCGAAAATAAGTATTTCAACATCGAAATTATGGTACAGTAGTATGCGACGTGATCTTTCGACGCAGTTTTATTTTTCAATCGAAAAAGTAATGCGAGAGCTTAAAACATATCAAGAGATTGATCATACGAGTTGATTTCACAATCTTCGCGCCAACAAAATCCTTTGAACACCGGTTTAAGTTAAATTTCCAAATGGAATTAAGTTAGATTGAAGAAACTGGCCACTGAGAAATGCTCGATGGCGAGCTAAAATAATATTTGGCTTTAAAAGTTCGACTAGAATTTACAAACCAACAAAAAAACTCTCCAAGCAATGGGTCATTTTAAGTTATTTTAAACAAAATTCGATGGATGGCATGAATTCGAATAAACGGGACAATCCTCGCATAGAAGGACGTCAAAACGCTCAAAAATGAATTTTAGCTTTGGAATTCCTACAGGGATTCCCGCCCGGAAAACAGCCTTCGAGCAATGGACATTCTTCAATTTCCCAGAAAAACAAAAACTTTCTGCGTGAATGAAAAATACCTTGATAATTCGCTCGCTAATCATATGAAATTAAAAATTGACGCATGATTTTGACATTAGAAGTCTGAAGGCCAGAAAATGATGCAGGAACTACTGAGAGCTCTCAAAACAATCTACCAGGGGAAAAAATTGCGAATTTTCCGAAAATTCTTTCGGACGAACCATCCTTTCCAATTCATACGCTTTTGTCGAAGACATTTCCGAATGTGAGGCCGTGAATAAACAAAAGGGCATTTGCCGGAAAATTCAAAACAGCTCTCACGGAAGCTTCGTCCTTCGGAATTCCCCATGCAAGAAAAAGAAAATGCAGCCACCTCCATTAAGAAATCAAATCGGAGCCTGTCAAGACGCATTCTCCACAGCGGTGGAACACAGTGGTCCATTAGTGAGGGGCAAGGTGTCGGTGCCAACTGCGGAAAATAGATATAAACTTGTCGGTTCTGTTGACAGATAAGCGACATGTGCCGTCATCTTCTAGCCGCGCGTTGCCGAAATCAACAAACCAGTTGAGGGGGCCGCAGACGTGTACATTGACAGAAAAATTTTTAAAGCACTTGCGCTGCATAGCATTCCCGAAACCTGGCTAAAATTGCCCGGAGGTTTATTTAAGGCGGGTCAAACTTTAAATAGTTTAAAACCCACCAAACCCAACACGCAATTGAAGACGAAATCATATTGAAAATGCCCATTCTTGAAGGTGGATATTATTAAATGATAAAGACTCGGATTTTCAAGGAGAGGATCACAAACCAACGCGACGTTTTGAACATGTGGAAGATCCAGAGATAAAAAATAAAAAAACAGACAATTATGTATAGTGAGTTCACTGATGAGAATATACATTTCGTGCATCATAATGAACGTCTTCGAGTAATCCTGGGTAAAATATGAGTTCAGTCTGTACAAATTTCGATTCAAATTACACGAAGCACCACAAAACGTTGGAAACAAAATTTACTATACGTGGCGATCAGAAAAATAATGTCTATTGATATACGAAAATTAACCAAAAGTCTACCATACTTCCGATTCATTGGCTGCTTAAAAATGTGAAGCATTAATGCGCACATATAAATTTCCGAGAGGATACCAAAATCAAGTAAAAGTTCAACATGCAGATTTTGAAAATTCCTTCAGACCACATATGTTTCACAGAATTGATGAAAGCTTCCCACAAAATCTCACCAGCCGATTTCAAGATACACAATTTTTACATGACGCCTCTTAGTTTACTCCGAAGATTGTATATTTAGGGCTACACGCAGAAAACGGCAAAATACAGTACAGTAAAATGTTTCGTCTCTGAGATCGCACAAGCTGGTCCCGGAACCTCTTTCGCTCTTAAAGGAGTCCACGCAAGTAAAGGATGTGCTGACCTAGTTCTTGCAGTTTCCGGGACGAGCTCGTCGGCCAGGGTTAATGACTCGTCGGTGATATAACGCATCTTTTAAAATTTCTTCCTCGATACCTCGCATCTTATAGCTATTCAAGGCATACATTTCAGAAAATGTAGTCCTAAACGAATATTCAGGAACAAGCGCAACGATAAAGGAAATAGTCTATCGATATCGAAAAAAAATTACGAGTACATAGTTCAGCGCGTTCAGCCCGTTGAACCTCAGGGAAACGGGTTCACCAAGTTCATGTTTGCACAAAAACGTTCTTGCATTGAATCACCCTTGCACAGGTTGGGGTAAACTTCACCGGCGCTGATTTTGGCGTTTGCTCCGGAAAAACAGGTGAAAAGTACTGGAACTGCTGCAACACAGCTCGAAACCCTGATCGCTTGAACCAATAAATTTAAAAAACATGAAATGAACGATAAGCTTTCGAATTTCTTCATAAGCGACACTACTTCTTCCTTCTAACCACGCGTTTTATCTTTCTAGCAGATTCCAACTCGATCTAGAAATGTACAATAATTCCAATACGCAATTGAAACCTCTTCGCTTTCAAAAAAATACATCTGCGTCAAGCAAAATATCATTCTGGTTTGCAGATCACATCGAAAAGCTTCATCATTATTGGCGGAGAATTCAAGTAACTCAATTCAAGTAACTCGGGTCGGGAGTAGTTCTCTCGTAACCTCAAAGCGTTTTTGGCACGGAAAATACTGTAATACAGTAACATGTCAACGAAGAAATCGTGCCGTTCGGAATTTGAGATAATTATGAATGCAAGGCTAACAAAACAATAAGGAACACATCGCGATGCAAAAGGAAATAATCTCCGTCTCTTAGAATTAAAACATCGATCACCGCAAAATTTATCAACGCTTCTCTCGCTCACTCCCCAGCTGGATCCCCGGCTTTCCAGAGAATTATGGCAAATACGCTTTTAAATCCATAAGTTATTAACATTTCTTTGAACTTAAACGATCTTCTCTCAATATTGATACAACGCTATGCCAACAAAATCCTCCAGCACAAGCGAAAGCCAACCCGATGGGTGGCATCCTGATATAAAATATCGATAAAGAAAGGCGACAGACGCAAATCCATGCAAGTGTTGACAAAGATTTTCAACACCTCTCCGTTAGAAAGCATGAAATCTTTTACGTTTTCACGGAAGAAAATTACAATTGAAAAAATGCACAATAAAAATCCGCAGGAATGTGTTTGATGTGGAAGGAACCGGTATTAAAAATGTATTTAGACGTTAAAGTCCAGTCGTTTCAAACGCGCTCGAAGCATTCCAGCGGATAAAATCCTTATATTTTTGGAAGATCCGTGGAAATTGGTAATCAACTAAATTTGCAGAATACCTATTTCGCTATAAGATAAAATTCTATAAAGAGAAAAGTACAAGCCGGGATGACTTGAAGACACCACCGGTCATTTCTACGTAGATATTTTCTGGAAACAAAATTCATACTTAATTTAGCGGAACCAACTGAACTTAAATTGAAGCTCATTCCACAGTCTGTTTAAGATTCAAGAAACTTTTCCGTCTGGTTCAGGCATTACATACAGAGACACGATAGACGTGTTTCCTTACAAGATACCTTCAAGTCAGAAAAGACAACAGGAACTTCAACTGGCAAAAACAAGATTGAAGGCAAGAGTTGAACAACATACGCAGATTTTAAGAATTCACCAATTGATTACGGTCAACGAATTCAAAAGAAAAGGGATTAGGTCAATTGTTTGCCCGAACCGGAACTAAAACAACTTGTCTTCCTCCGAGCGAAAATTAAGATAAGTCAAAACTGAGACTCACCTAAGATATCTCCGATGTTCTCGACGAGTTTCGTTTTATTTATTTTTTTAATTTGCACACAAAAAGACACAAAACGTTCACGAACCCACGACACAACACACCAAAGATAAATAAATATAAACTGGGGGCACGTAAGTGGAGTGGCTAAATGCGGGGAGCCATGTTTGACTGGGCCAGTAGCGGGAAGGAGAGTCCCCCACATCCGGTTCCGCACAGAGTGATCCGCACTACCCTGAGGGTGCTGTATCTTGTGCGTATTCCATATAAGGTAAAACGCGCAAAAAATCTATCTTCCGGGCTGTTCCAGGGGGGGGGGGGTGCCTAGTCCTATCCGGCAGTAAAGACAAATTTTAAAAAGGTTCTCAAATCGATGCTACGTTTCATATTTTAGAGGCTTCGGCAACGATTGACGATTCTGAACCGATCCAAATGGTAAACGAGATTTCGCAAGATAATTTTCCCACATACCAATTATCTGCATCATTCATGGCAAATGTAACATGAGTGTTCTGCATCTTGGAAGGGAAACAAAATGAAGACTACCGTATGTTGTTCCGTTGCTTGGCTGGAGTGGTCAGTCTATACGTGGCAAAAGGCGGCCTCAAAAGAGAGGCGGAAGAAGCAGGTGAAGCTGATCCGCCCTCATTCGACGTTTCTTCAACGAATTCTAGTGAGGACCTGAAAGCGGTATAAATTCGGGACTGTCGGTATTTCGAAAGCTGATGCTTGGAATCAATATCCCAGCGATTACCGTGCAATAATGAACGACGAGTATCCACTTCGTGCCTAAGTGTTTCCCGTTATCTCTAGCATGTAGTCGTTTGGGCATGAACCCCCCATCGTCGTCTAACAATCAGGAAACAAGCGTCGTCGTGCGACATCTATTTTATAAACAAAAAGTGAACACGAATGAAACAGAGACGCTCCTCAGCAAGCTTTTCGAGCTCGATTTGCCAGATCCGCGCAAATGAAATTCCGAGGTGATTGTGTAAGATTGCTTTTGCCCGAAGCTATAATTATATTCCAAAAAACCCTATTATCGTTGAATAAAATTATTTGTTCTTTCTTATCGTACGTCTATTCATGATCATGATTCATGATGGTAAAAAAAAAACCATGTGTGAGCAATTATGTGGTTTGGTTCATATATGCATCATCAATACTTGAATGCATTTTATGCTGTTTTATTTTTTAGTTACCACTTGCATTCATTATTGAATAGACCGAGCTAATATCGAACCGATTATAAAGGTTTTTGTACTGTATATGTTAATTGTACTGCATATTAGGAGTTGATAAGCGAAACCATCAGCAGCATATATAATACATGAACCCAAGTTTCGTTTCCTGATCAAATTCCACCCATCCCGAACTCATTCTTCAGCTAAAAATCCAGTCTTCAATGTACAGTATAGACAATACAACACATATATTTCCATTGACCATACCAATGGGTGAAAATGTATATATGCAGTATTCCAGTATTATATACTGTAATAGTGTTCCCCAACCTTTTTGTGCCCGTCAGGGACCGGAAAATTAGCATGACATTTTTTTACGGACTGGCAAATTAAAAAAAAAGATCTGTCAACCAGCAAAGTTTAATATCATTTTTGCAGATTCAAAAGAGATTGGAAAGACTGTATGGCTGGTACTGTATATTTAAAAGCACTGTATCTGCTCTTTTGCAGAAATTAAGTTAAACGCCAATGGCAGGTTTTGTGGAACATCTTCAAAAATTATGAAGGTGGCCTTGAAGGAAGGTTTCTCAGAATGAAAAATTAAGATAACTTATTCCATCAAGTAAAAATTTGTCCAAAGTGTGGTTAGGAGCGCAGCATTCATTTTTAACACATTTTTATTAACTCGCTTTCTTGTCCGTTTGTTTGTCCGGATCATATGGAGATTGTTGGGAAGAAGTGAAATACAAATGAAGTAGATGTGCACCCCGTTTAAGGTTATTTTTTGCTTTTTGAAAACATGGTTTTTTAGATTAATTTTTTAATCTACTAAATTTTTTTATGCAATAATTTTAACTGCCCTTGTCTTTCTACATGTCAGATAAAGATACTGTGACATCCTTATCATGGCTACTCTTTATTAATATACTGTACCAAGCAGAAGAAATTTTCCCGCGGACGGGCGAAAAACTTCTGCGGACCGGCGCCGGTCCGCGGACCACCGGTTGGGGAACACTGATAGTACAGTAGCACACAGCATACAGAATTTTGAAGATTTCACACCTGCACTGTTCAGGTAAAAAGCCGGTTTAGGATAGATGGAAGCACTATTAAAATATGGCTCGCCTCATGAAAATGCAGTACTGTACAGTAAGGAATGTTTTCGTCCGGGAATTAAGTTAGTCACTCGGCCTTCGACTTTCGCAATGAGCAAGTGAAAAGCGAGGAAGCAGTGTTTAAAAATTAGTTTTCCAGTGTAGTGTTGGTCCTTGGGGCCGTGCGCCTGATGAAGTGAGAAGTATTTTGCGGTTGATACAGGGCATGAAAGACAAACGCAGTGGTCTTGAGTGACGACAGCTTTTGCCGTGATCTTCTTACTAGGCACGAATTTATACTTGGGCAGAGTCTGAGGAATCAGCGGATGTGAGGTCATCAACATTCTGCTGTTTCGTGTCGCTGTGAGTAGGTGATCAAGGCTGGTCGTTCGTTTCTCCCGGGTTAAGGGTTCTGGCAGGGTTCTTCCGTTGCGTGCGGTTGACCTTTAGCTGGCGGCATGTAACTGTAGCTTACGAATATTTTTGCATGATTTTTCATATTTGTATAGATGACTGTACCGAAGAGTCCGCTCCTGAACTGATCGAAAGAAGTTCGATATTGCTTCGTCCCATGATCTGGTTATTCCTTGTACTGGTTATTCCTTGAGCTGTCGATGCTGTGATAGAAAGATGAGGGTCGTGGGCCTTGTAAGCGGTGGTAAAGATAGCTGTTACAATCTACTGGAGTGTGTTGCGGCGGGACATGATATAGTTGCGTTGGCGCATTTGATTTCGTCCACCTCAGGTGAGAATTTATGCCAAATTTTCGTGTTTCAACAGTCACATTCGAACTTGAAAGTTTCAGATGAAATCGATAGCTACATGTATCAGACTGTTGGTCAGACCGGAGTTGCTAAACTGGCCGAAGCCATGGCATTGCCATTATTTTCGCACACGATAAGAGGAAGCAGCTTGAATACAAGTCTCAATTATACTCCGGCAGATGGAGATGAAGTTGAGGATTTATTTGAATTATTGAAGGTAGTTAAAGAAAGCACGAACATTGAAGGGGTCAGTGTTGGAGCTGTCCTGTCGGATTATCAGAGAATCCGAGTTGAAAATGTCTGTGATCGTTTGAGCTTGACTCCATTGGCATACTTATGGCAAAGGGATCAAGAAGAGTTGTTACAGTCTATGATTGACGTTGGCATTGAGGCTATTCTCATCAAAGTTGCATCGATGGGACTTGAACCGCGAAAACATCTGGGCAAAAATTTGCGTGCCGTCAAGGGTGATCTTAAGACATTGGTGCGTTTTTCAAATGTACATTTACTTTTTCGATGTGATGTTCTTCATAGCATATTTTACGTTTCAGAAAGACCTCTATGGATCCAGTGTCCTTGGGGAAGGTGGGGAGTACGAGACATTTACAATTGATTCTCCACTTTTCAAAAAGAAGATAAAAATGTAAGATTTTTTTACTTTTTCCATGCAGGCTATTATACTTTCCATTTTGAACTGTAGCGATGAGCAAGAATTCGTGGAGGATCAGAAGAATACAATCTCTCCAGTCGGATATATCAGGTTTTTGAAACTGTCTTTGGAAGCTAAGCCTTATGCGGGAGACGACTGGTTGGAAAAAGTCCCTACTCCGATGATCTTTGTCAAAGGTATCCTGGCTAAAGACGACGCTGTTACTACAGCGGCATCTTTTCGAGAAATTTCCGAGCCTCCAGTATCCGATCCATTCAAGATGCTTGTGATTCGCTCAAGCAGTGGCTTCTTTAAAATGTTCATGGCAGTTGCAGACGGAAAAATTGGCCGTGTTCTTCATCAAGCAACTGAATATCTGCATTCTCAAGACCTGAGTTTTTCTTGTGTGGCCTCTGTTATCATGTATGTCAGTAAAATGACGAAATACTCTGCGTTCAATGCGAAGTATGCTAGCTTCTTTGGGAGCGATCCTCCCCCGAGAGCCTGTGTTGAAGTACCTTTACCAGCTAATCTCGATGCACTGATAGAAATCACAGTTGCCGATGAAAAGCCGAAAGTACTTCTCGTTCGTAGTGTATCTCATTGGGCACCAGCAGTCATTGGTCCATATAGCCAATGCTCCCACGTTGGCAATACATTTTACGTTGCCGGGCAAATAGGACTTGTCCCGGGAAGCATGGAACTCATTCCTGGCACCGTTGGGAAACAATCTCAGCTGTGTCTTCGTCATGTTAATCGAATATTAGATGCTATGGTTTCCGAAGTGGAAGGTCGCGTTTACTGTGGCCTATGCTACGTCGTCAATGAAGAAGATATCGGTGTTGCCGAGAAAACATGGAAGTTGGAAGGCGGAAGTGCTCCTGAACTGCTTGATGTTTTGATAGTTTCCGCTCTTCCTCGAAGTGCTTTGGTAGAATGGCATGTGAAAACGTGGCAGTGTGATGCAAACTCGGTAAGCTGTGAGTATCTATAGTATCCTTTTCCAGTCCTGTACGAATGTATTTTATTTAAATTTTTATATTTAAATTTTCAGATTCTACCGACGAAATATATTTTCGAATGTGCCTCGTTAAAAGAAGGAGATTAATGGACAGTAAAGGGATTTTGGCGCAATCATTCCTAATAGAAGACTCGGATGGTGAAGAAAATGTCGCCGTTCTGCGTAACGTTATTGAAGAACATTTCTCGGGAAACGATCTCAGTGGGATCACGGTGTTTTACGTTTACTCAAAAATGTCCTTCAGAAGCGTTCAGTGTACTTTAAGAAGTGTTGGGCGAGGTGGAATACCTGTTCCAGTGTTAGGACTCGGTTCTGTTTCTGCCTGTGCCCTTGTTCGTGCTGACAGATGCTAGGCTTTTGCGTGGTGGCGTCCGTGTATGTTCTGATTTCTCTGTGCTCAAGAGTAGCTGGTTTTCTAAGAGCGGTCGTCGAACGCAATTCGTTGACTTTTTCTGTAATTTTTCGTGCTCAGGTTACCCTTCGTCGGTGGAAAAGCTTTGTGCTATGATTCGTAATGATCATTGAGGTATGAATCCAAACGTTTCGAATTATGGTAAGTTTTCGCAGTCTCGGCGTCAGAACTACTAGATCACTAAAGCGCGTTGACTTTTAGTTTACGGTAACGCCGCCTGGACCTCGAATGTTACGTCGCAACCGGTTGAAGAACAGTGCTTCACGGTTGGATCAGTGGTCATGCCGAGGGATGTAAGTAGAACGGTTTATCCCTCATGATAACGTGAATTCTGTTAACCCGGTATGATTTACCTTTTAGGCTGCAATGACGTCCTCGGAGTATCTCCCTTACGAAAATATGGATGAGAGTTCATCGGACTATTCCCTGGAACCTGACGCTGTTAACCAAAATTCTGCCTTGTCTCAGGGTCGAAATGACCCTGTCAAGTTGAAAGGACCTATCGCCTTTGCAGGAGATTCAGATACGGATAAGATCCCCATATCTAAAGAGGGTCGAGGTGAGGAATTTGGAATCTGACGTGCATCACGTTCAGAGCGATAATTTAGGAAAATTATTTGTTCATTTTCTTCCGCCGATTTGTAATTCAAAGATTTATTTTTTGCCTTTTGTATGCATCGTTTTTTTCAGTATTTCGGGCCTTTTTTCAACCCTGAAATGGGTTAGGTTCATAACTTTGTTGCGCATCACTGTGGTTATCTAAAGAAATCAAATGATTATAAATAGTGATATTCTGATCTGCTCCAAACCAGAGTCGCATGTGCATATTCAGTTGATAGATAGAATTAGAATACATATTTCGCTCAATAATTAAAATATTATCTGTACGTTTCAGCTCAATGTGAATACTGTGGAGCTATCGGTGTAAGACATTCATTCTATACGAAGGAGAGAAGGTACTGTAGTCGCGTTTGCTCAAATCAAGCCAAGATGAAGGGTGCGCATCTGGGCAGTTCCCAAGCATTGAACGTTTCCTCAACACTTGTGAAAAATGCAGACAAGAAAGTTTTTTTGCCGAAGGTGAGAAACTTCACGGAGGATTGAAATCTCTTGAATTATATGACTTCACCGTTACGCCTTTTTTTAGAATAACGATTCACCTGATGTAATTGCTCAAGAAGCCTTACAGCAAGCTATTATTAATCGTCCAATCGCCGAAAAGAATGCCATGGTGATGTACGAGCCTCCAAAAATCCATATTCTGGATGAAAGCAGAGAATATCCTGATGAGGAATTTCGCACCGGCCCGTTCACGTTCGATTTGAAGGGAACTTACGACTGGGCTGATGGCATTGGCGATGAAGGCTTCATTGCTGCTCCCGTATCTTGTTTCAAGCACGTGAGTGATGGCTATTCTCATTTAAATTAGGTAAAACCGAATACAGTAGTTCGACAGATTTACGTTCTTTGCCTGAAAATTGGAATATTTAATTCAAAACTCAGTTCTTACTCTGCAGCAAGGTTTGAGGTTTATAAAAATGATCAGTGTCGATTATTCATCCTTTTTAATTTTTCAGGCCCCGCTTTCCAACATATGGGAAAAAATTTCGCTTGGCATGAAGATTGAGGTTCCGTGCTATGCGCACGAATCAGTGGACGAAGGAATTGATGAGCAAGACGAGTCGTATTGGATAGCAACAGTGGTTCGTATTCAGGGATACCTCGCAATGGTGCGTTATGTTGGAATGCCGGATCCACCGGACGACCCCAGCGTCATGACTGCTGGTGATTTCTGGGTGCATTTGTGCTCCGATGAAATGAAGCCAGTCGGTTGGTGTGCGCAGCGTTCTAAGGTTCTCATCCCACCACCTTGTAAGTTTCTCTGATTGAAGTTTTTATGCTAAGAAAAATTGACTGAACTTTTCTTCGTAATGGACATCTGTCCTCTAGTCATCGTGAACAGGGTGAAAGATTGGAAAGAATATCTTGTTCAACATTTGACGGGTGCAAAAACTTTGTTGAAAAATTTTGGTGACGAAAGAAGGGAACGGATCAGCAGCAGGTAATGTCTAATTTTGAATTTTTTCTTTGGAACGCAGGAGAAATATCCGAAACATGCTTCTCTCCCAACAGATTTCAGCCTGGTCACCGGCTGGAGGTTATTGATCGTGAGAAAATTTCCCAAATCCGCGTTGCCACTGTGCACGATATGTATGGAGGACGTCTTCATTTGCGCTATCAAGGGTTGGGAGAGGAAGACCCAGGTACGTCTAATTTCTCATTAGGATTTTTTTTTCGCTGAATCTATCTCGTTGTTTTAGGAACTTGGGCGCATGAAACTTCGCCAAACATTAAACCGGTTGGCTGGGCCCTCAAACATCTGCATGATATGGAAATCTCTCGTGAATATCTTGAGCGTATCCGTTACGGATTGAATGATCCAAGAGATGCTCCAGAAAATCATTTTACCGATGAGCCGGGTTCAGAAGATGAAGACGGGCCGCCTGATGGTGTGAGAGATTTTTTGCCGGGAGATAAGCTGGAATGCGTTGATCCGTTGAATGCAAATGTTATCGGTTCTGCTACTGTTGAACGGGTGAGTCAGATTGGTCATTCTGTATGATTAAAATCATATTCTGCTGTTTATGCCATATTTCGAACGTGATTAGTTCCAGGAGATATTTATACAGTACTGTATTTGAACGTCCTGTGAAGTTTTCATCGTACTCGTAGATATTGTTTCTGGCACATTTTATCGCGATTTCTTTTTCAGGTTTTGCCGGGAAGGTACCTCATGATTCAGATGGATTGGTACTTGGAGGAAGAACGTGCACGAGACGCCTTTTGTCGACACGCATCTTCGAAGTATATTTTCCCCTGCGGGTTTTGTCAGACAAATCAAATTCCGTTGAAACCTCCGGTTGGCTGCGATGAAGACTGTTTCTCGTGGAAGGATTATTTGGAAAAAACTGGACTTCAAGCCGCTCCCATTGCACTTTTCCAGAGGGTACATCTTCAGTTTTTTCTTCCTTGTAAAGCTTTTAGTCTTTAGTAATCCTGATCAATTTTAAATAATTTTCTGCGGGCATCTCTCTCTCTCTCAAATAAAAAGGGATACGAATTGAAACTTTTGAGTGGAAGGTGTAGTTTTGAATTTTGTCTCATATTTTACCTTTCGTGTAACGGAAAAAGAAAGTCCGCTGATCTAGTGGGCTTTTTCGTATTTTTCAAGAAGACATATCCCCATCACGGGTTTGAAGAAGGCATGCGACTTGAATGTGTTGATGCGACGGACCCACGTCTGATTTGCGCTGCAACGATTGTGAACGTCGTACAGCGATTGCTGCGTATCCATTTCGATGGTTGGGACGAAGAGTATGATATGTGGATAGATTGCGATTCTGCAGACATTTTCCCGCTTGGCTTTTGCACCCTGATCGGATATCCGCTGCAAAGTCCTCGAGAGGGCTATGGTAATTTTGGTTTCCTTTATATTGCAATATCAAAAATTCTGTCGACGCACTACATTTTTATTTTTCATATCCTCCGATTGAACAATACATTTGAGTTTTTCTAATAAGAAATTATGTATTAAAAATATGACGTACTAATTACAGAACAAAAGCGGAAGCGTGTTTCTGGGAAAAGAGGACGCCGACGAAAAGGTCAGCCGATGTCGAAAACAACAATCAATGTTCAGAGATCAGTTCGAGGCGTGGAAACCGTGCGGGGTACCTCTGAACCAAAGGAAGATAGTAAAAGTCGGAGTAGCCGGGAGATCGTCGAAACAGTTCCCAGAGAAAAAGAACCGGAAGAAAAGAAAATCGACAGTGTCCTGAATTTCAAGGAAGAAACGCAAGAGAACGAGCAGCCGCCCCAACTAACTTCAGCCCACGAGTGGACAATCGCCCAAGTTTGCCAGTTTTTGGCGCAAAGTGACTGTGGACAATTCTCTCAGCAATTCATTGAGCAGGCGAGTGTTTCAACGATGTCGGAGGTTACTGTCATTGAATCATCACTTGAGGATCCGAATCAATTTTTTCCAATTTCTACAGAAAATCGATGGCAGCCGCTTTCTGCAATTGACAATAAATGACCTTGTAAAAATGACAAATAAGATGGGACCTGCCCTGAAGATATCGAAGCTGATCGAGGATATCAACTTCAAGCTCAATCCTGCACTTTCTCGTAGCCGCCAGTCGAACGCGAATAGAAACCGGATTTGAACAATTTTTGTGGAGAATACCATTTTATTTTCCAGAGCTATTGATATCGAATTGCTTATCGAGATGCTCTGACTTTATTCCGTTCCGATGTAAAGATTTTGTATTCAAATCACCTTGTTGAATTCTTGTGGATCTAAATCAAGAAAGTTTATTTCGAAAGTGGTTTTTTGAGAACGAATTTGGAGGTCGATCTCTGGCAGTGAGACAAGATCGCGTAATTTCATCGCTTGCTCCCGTCCTTGCTGTGATCGTTGTCAAATTTTCTTTTTTCGATAACGCCTAATCTTTGATCCACTAAATTAGGTAGAATACCCTTATATCCGACGCGGTTGTCTTCCGTTCTTGAAGCTTTGCACTGACTTGAGGAGGGGTTGAACAGTTGGCTAGAAGCAGCAGTTCATTTTGTCATTTTCCGGTTAAATGAACTTCTGACGAGACTTCCGTTGTCGCTCGGTTCTTTGATATGAAGGTTGGCTGGAAGTTCGACGTATTTGAGCTCGTTGGACAATTTGACGTGGCGATGCTCTCGTCTCTTTCGTATTTTGTAATACAGCTCCAGAGATGTTGATTGATTTTATTTTTGTACGTTTTGAATATTCACCCATAATAACAAAAGTTTCACCGTCTCAGGTACTTCGGTGTATAATGGCAGATTCGGACGATTTTAGTGACGATGAAGCAGATGGTGGTTTAACCGGCTTCTTGTTTGGAAATATCGACAATGCGGGGAAACTTGAACAAGATTCTGACTTATTCGATGAAGAGTCGCGGTTGCATTTGGCTTCTTTGCAAAAATTCGGAATCGGATCTTTATTGCGCGAAGTTGTCGATTCGAAACCGCGCGAGGATGAGCCGGATAAGAGACTTTCAGAAGATGAAGAAGACGATTTTATGTACGATGATCCGGACGATGAGGATCCGAGAGATTCCGATAAGCATCGGAAGCAGAAGAACGTTTTATCGAAGAAAGCAGCGCATAAAGGTCTGTAACTTGAATTTAACCTTGTTTTCATCCAAAAATAGCTTTTATTTCTCCCAGGAGCAGATGCTCGGGATGGACCAGTGCAAAAATTGACCTCAGCCGTTGATTATTCTGATATGGATGAGATAGCGGAGGAAGATGCTGGTAACTTCATCATAATACAAATGAGAAAGAAAAATTCAAGCTATTCTTCAACGCAGCGATTAACTCGATTTTGTAAAACCTTGTGAAACTTTTCAGAAAGTGACGCGGTGTTGATGCCTCCACCGCCTCCAAGAACGAAACCTAGTCCGTTAGCGCCGCTTTCTTCCGCGGGTATGGATGGTCACGACGATAGTCATAATAAGCTGAACACACCTTTGGCCGCCATGTTACCATCTAAGTATGCTGACCGGAATGTTACAGAGCTCTTTCCGGAATTCCGGCCTAATAAGGTTAGTTACGACGGCCATAAGATACAGGGACTAAGAGTCAAATCATTACCTAGCCCGTTGAATGAAATGTCCTTGACATACCCGGCCCTTCATGAGCCTCTTCGTATATGCGCATGCAGGTATTGAGATTTTCAAGATTGTTTGGACCTGGAAAGCCAAGCTCGTTGCCTCAGATTTGGAGAGGGGTTAAACGCAAGAAGAAGCGGAAAACCAGAGTACGTCATGACTCAGCTACTAATGGAACTGCTGCAGATGCAGAAGTTCATCCTTGGAAATTTGATTTCGGCTCGCCACCAACAAGTGATCAAATTTACGACAATGAGGTAAAATCCGATTAAAATTGCATGATTTTTCTCATCTAAAGTACGTATGTTTTATTCTAGGATGAATTCCTTCGACCTATGGAATTTCAAGACGGCAATGGCTATCTTGGCCGGAAGAAAGACTCAAATTCTCCGGGCGTTGCTCCTTGGAGATACGGACCTGCCCAGTTATGGTTTGACATGTTGGATGTCCCGGAAACTGGAGAAGGATTTAATTATGGTTTCAAAACGAAACGCAAAGAGAAGGTAGTCCGATTTTATGATCCTGCATGATTGTTGAAGTCACATTTGTCGTGTCATGCCGTTTTTACTAATTCCTGCTTTATCCATTTTTTAAATTTCCTTTTGATTAATTTTGATCGTTTATTATTTCAGAAGTACAAGCAGTCATGGCAAAGTTCGATTCTGGGACGGAAGCGTCGTCGTTTGGGACGTATGTCATCCAGTGTTGGATTATCTATCGGCGAAGGAGAATCTTCAGATTCCGATGACGAAGCTGTCAATAATAGGGATACTTCATCGGAGTCAAACGTTTTCCCGGAGGATGCATTTTTTATGATGAATCAGATTAATTGGGAGGACGATGTGATATGGAACGGCGACGAAGTGAAGAACAAAGTGAGTCGTCCCCTAGGAACATAATTCGTCTCGTTGTCGTGGCTCTTCAACCAGTTATGTATTTTTTATGTTTTAGAAACTGCAAATGAAGTCAAACGCTGCCGGATGGGTTCCTTCCAGTATGATGAGGACTGCTCAGTCGTTAACTTTAAGCCAGCCTGTGAAAGCAAGTTCCGGTGTTCCTGTACCATCCTCCGCAGGACAAAAGCATGGCAAAGACAAGAACAACCTGTGAGTGTTTCGCCGTATATTTTTCCAAGTAACTCCCGCCCTGTATTTTCATTTTGGCATACGCAGGGTTCAGCAGGATGATGGTGATGACACATGGTATTCCATTTTTCCTGTCGAAAATGAGGAACTCATATATAGGCGATGGGAAGATGAAGTTATTTGGGATGCCGAGGTAACTACAGTGTACTGTAATTACTTGCTTTGAAGGTCGGCACATTTTTTTTCCTCACCATTTTCCTTGTGCTCGAAATGTTTCAGAACATGTGAATTATTTTAATATTTGAATTTTGAAAGCGTGTGCTTCGGTGTTTTTTTCCGGTAAACCCGAATTATTACGTTTGATACATGATTAGACAATAAAAGCCAACTTTTCATGCGGCGACGGAAAAAATGTGATCCTGATACTTCCTCCTTTCCATGTCAGTGCATGCCTAAGGTTCCCGACCCAAAAGTCGTTACGTTGGATCCTAACGACGAGAACATCATTCTTGGAATTCCGGACGACGTAGATCCGAGTACCGGGGAGAGTACCGAGCAAGTTCGAACGAAAACGAAAATTCCTCACCCTCACGTTCGCAAGTCAAAAATGTTGCTTGGGAGAGCTGGTGTGATACATCAAATTGAAGAAGACTCTCCGCCGCCGCCACCAAAATCACCGGATAAAGATCCTTACAACATGGCCAATGATATATTTTATCAAATGAAGGCCGAACCGAATCTGAAGAGTACTGTTGGTGGCACCTTGATACAGCACTCAATACCGGTTATTGAATTGCGTGCTCCTTTTGTTCCCACGCATTTGGGACCGATACGTCTGCGAGCCTTTCATCGCCCGGCTATTAAGCGGTACTCTTATGGACCTTTATCTACTTCTAGTGAACATCCGGTGCAATGCCTTGCGAGTGAAATTCAACGGAAAGCTAGGGTGAATACTTTTCCCTTAATTTTAAAAATGTATACCTATTGAATGAATGTTTTTGTCGGACGCTACTAACATTTATTATCCCGTTTTTAATGTTCTTCAAGTCGAAATTCGTGTTCGTATACCTTGAACTGAAATTCTCGATTTTCAAATGGGTCAAGTTTTCCGCTGATTATCAAATAAATGGAAGGTATTTTGCCCAATGCACGGATATGCTCAGAATTGATCAAAATAATAAGAGTTTCTGGAAATTTGGACTTAATTATTGGAGTAGAGTATTGAACGATGAGAATCTGAAGTCGGACTTTTATTTGAGACAAAATCCAGATTTTTGGCATTAGTCTCAGTCAATTGAATGGAACGTTCAGATTTTTTTTTGGGAAGTTGGATAATATTCCGTACGCACGAATATTTTTGCAGGAACGAGAGCAGGAACGGCTGGCTTCCGGTGGGGGAGAAGTATTTTTCATGCGAACACCGGATGATCTCACCGCGAAAGATGGCGAGCTTATTTTCTGCGAATATTCGGAAGAACATCCTCCGCTAATCATGCAAGTAGGCATGTGTACGAAGATGAAAAATTATTACAAGCGTCGAGCGGTGAAGGACCTCCGGCCGCCTGACTACAAGTACGGAGAGACAGCGTACGTGCATACTTCCCCATTCCTGGGCTCGATGCATCCCGGTCAGAGCCTGCAGTCGTTGGAGAATAACCTGTACCGTGCTCCAATTTATGAACATCCGTCGGCCAAGACGGACTTCTTGATAATACGCACTCGACAAGGATATTATCTGAGGGATGTCGAGACTTTGTATTGCGTGGGACAGCAATGCCCGTTGTATGAAGTTCCAGGTCCGAACTCCAAGCGAGCGAATAATTTCGTTCGTGATTTTCTCCAGGTGAGCTTGATTTTTTTTGCGTAATTTTTTATGCGTATACAGTAAATGTTTGTAAATTGTTTTTTTGTTTTTTTCGAAGTAATCTAAATGAATGTGTTTTCACGTTCGGCGTATTTCGATTCTTGCAGGTATTCATTTTTAGGCTATTCTGGAGCAGTCCAGATAACCCAAGAAGAATCAAGATGGATGATATTAAACGTGCTTTCCCGTCTCATTCGGAAAGCTCGATTCGTAAGCGACTCAAAAGTTGCGCAGATTTCAAACGAACGGGTACTGACTCGAATTGGTGGGTTCAACGCCCCGATTTCCGTTTACCCACTGAGGAAGAACTGCGAGCTCTTGTCAGTCCAGAACAATGCTGCTCGTATTTCTCCATGATAGCTGCTGAGCAACGTCTACGTGATGCCGGGTACGGCGAAAAGTTCCTTTTGATAGCCCAAGATGACGACGACGAAGATATGCAGGTTTGTTGGATTTCCACGTTAATATTTAGAAATGCAGTGATAACTAAATGGAAGGTAAAATTATTTATGACCATTCGCGGTCATACAAGAGAGACAAATCCACGAGTGATTAATTAGCTTAATTTTTTTCGAACGGAGCCCTCTCCGAGAAACTTGCAGAATTGATGCATTCGAGTGGTACTCCTGTGTCCTGTATCATATTCTGAAGTTCAAAAGCGTGAAAGTCTCGAGAGGCACGAGTACGCAACTATTGGTAGTCATTGCGGCAGTTACTGAATGAGTTTCGCTTACTTGTTAGATGAAAATGGAAGACGAAGTGAAGGTTGCTCCATGGAATACCACACGCGCGTACATCCAAGCAGCCAAGAACAAATGCCTGCTGCAGCTTACTGGTCCTGCTGATCCGACCGGCTGCGGTGAAGGCTTCTCCTACATCAGGGTGCCGAATAAACCGCAGCAAAACAAGGAAGAAGTCGTCCAAGAGAAGAAAACCGTCACAGGAACTGACGCAGATCTTCGTCGCCTGTCCCTTCGTGACGCGAAGGCGCTTCTTCGGAAATTCAAAGTCCCCGAAGAAGACATCAAGAAGTTGTCGCGCTGGGAAGTCATAGATGTTGTGCGAACGTTATCGACGGAGAAGGCAAAAGCTGGGGAAGAGGGCATGACGAAGTTTTCTCGTGGTAACCGATTTTCGATTGCCGAACACCAGGAACGCTATAAGGAAGAGTGTCAACGAATTTTTGAACTCCAAAACAAGGTTTTGGGTTCGAGTGAACTTCTGTCGTCGGATGAAGCGTCGTCTTCAGACGAAGACAACTCAGACATGGAAGACATGAGTAAAAATCTGGAGAAGATGCTGACAAATAAGAAGACGTCTTCGCAGTTGACCCGCGAACGCGAAGAACAGGAGAGAAAAGAGCTCCGGAAGATGCTGATGGAAGATTCGAAGAAGAAACAAACTCCTGTTGGTGCAACGGAAGATAGTCAGCAAGGGGACGCTTCTGCCGCACCCGGAAGAAAACTGCGGATCACTCGCACGTTTCGGAAAAGTAATGGAGAACTTTTTTCACGCGTGGAAACTGTTAGAACACCTTCAGTTATCGACGCCTACGTGAAGATTCGTCAGACTAAAGACGAAGCTTTCATTCGTCAATTCGCAATGCCGGATGACCAGCAGAAAGAAGAGATGAAACGCGAAAAGCGACGTATTCAAGAACAATTGCGTCGTATAAAGAAAAATCAGGAGCGTAGCGGACGCCTGAGCGATGGTGCGGAAAGCGAGTCTCGCGATGGTTTGAAATTGGAGTCTTTTGCATCTAGCGAAACCACGTCGAGTCCACAACCCCCATCTGCGAAGAAGTCTGTAAAAAAGAGCAAAGAAGACAAGGAGCCCAAAGAAATCCCACAAAAGGCCTCAAAAGCGAAATCAGATTTGAAGCTGAAGTGTGGTGCTTGTGGTCAAGTAGGTCACATGAGGACGAACAAAGCGTGTCCTCAGTATTCTGGTGCTGGCGCCATACCTTCCGTCGCCGTTGCGATGACTGAAGCGCAGGAAGAAGAGCTTGAAAAGGAGGCCTTCAATGAAGATGAACACTTGGTGAACGTCGACGGGACAAAAGTTACGTTTTCTTCCAGTGTACTCAAACAGGCTGACGAGTTGAAGCGAAAATCCTTGCTTCTGAAGTTCCCCAAGAAGTCTGTCGATTCTGCTAACCAGCCTGCTTCTCCCACGGAAGCCAGTCCTCCACCTGCTGGTCCACCACCGTTGCTTCATGTTGCATCTTCATCTATCGCTTCTCCCTCTGGTCCAGCGAAGAAGAAGCGTCGGTTGAACAGTTCTCAAAACTTGGATTATCTCAAAAGGATTAAGAAACCAGCGCAACGGCGGAGAATTGATCCCCTAGTTGCTCTTTCTACTGCATTTGAAGATATTCTGAAGGAAATGAGCGGCATTAAAGAATCGGCACAGTTCTTGTATCCAGTGCAAGCCAAACTCGTGCCAGATTATCACCGCATAATTTCCCATCCGATGGATTTGCAGAAGATCAAGGAAAACAACAGAACGCGCCAGTACCAGTCTCGTGAGGAATTTTTGCAAGATGTGACTCTGCTTGTTCACAATTCTCAGCTTTATAACGGCCCGAATCACCCGTTGACACATGATGCTAAAGAGCTGCTGAAGTTGTGTATCCAGAGGATTGCAGAGCAAGAACAGAAGCTGATGGACCTTGAAACCTCCATCAACCCGCTCTTGGATGCCAACAGTAAAGTTGCGTTATCTTTTATTTTGGACTCCATACTGCAAAACAAGATCAAAATTATGCCGGAATCCTATCCATTCCATAAACCCGTCAATAAGAAGAATGTGAAGGACTACTTTTCGGTCATCGACGAACCCATGGATCTCGAGACCATCGAGAAAAAAATTAAAGGTACATAATTCAGTGCAGTTTTTGTTTTGGTTGTGCACGTTCATTGTCCAATTTGTTGGTTTTTCGGTTCGTTTCAGACCACAAGTATCTGAAAGGAAAGGCTTTTCTCCGGGACATTGAGCTGATTTATTTGAACAGCGCAAAATATAATGGGCCTGAATCGTTGTTCACTCAGCAAGCCAAGAAGCTCGTCGAAGCAGCAAAAGTATATTTACATAAGGTGAGTCGCAGCTTTTTCCGCGAAGCTGACACCGGCGCTTTTTAAAATGGGTGACTAAAGAAAATCGTTGTTGTAAGAGCATGAAGAAAACAAAAATCATTAAAAAAGTAGCACCTCAGGGGAAAAGCAACGCAAACGCAGAACCGCACCGGAACGGTAGCAACGATTGTAACCGGGGAAAAATAGGTGCTATAAAACTATTCAGTACAGTATTTACTTCGTAGTTCTACTCTCGAGGAAAATTTGTTCGAAAGAGCTTTCGAGGAGACTGACCTGACATGACCAAACTGGGTGATTTTACTGATGGTCTAACGAGAAACTGTTCTACCCAAGTGCTGTTTTTGAATTCGTTATGCTGGAACGCGCATTTATTCCCCCCCCCCCCCCCACCCCCCCC